GCACACCTGGAAGTCCTGGTCAGCGGCGAGGCGGTCCTCACGCCCCGAGAGGAAGGGCTCTGCTGGGACCAGGAAACCCGAGCTCAGGGCTCCGTGGCCCATCTTCGCCTGTGGAGTCTGTAATAGTCGTTTGCCATTAATAGAGGGTACATTTCGCTGTCATAACCCCTGCTGATGCCCCACCGAGGTAGAACAGGATCACGGGGATGTTTTGACCGTGACTTACTTTTCTTGTATTAATTCCAAGCCCCTTTAAAATTTGCTGGCAAAACTCCTCAGATACAAACCTTACTGATTTAGGTAAGTAGCGAGTCGTTTTCAGCTGCAATAGCATTTCCAGGTTCTCTTCCTTTATCTTTAAATTGATTGTGTGCTGTTAATGCTGTTTTAGAGCTGCGATGTATGTGATGTTCGATTCCTACTCATAGCAATCAAATGTGTACATTTATTATGGTTTTAGCTGAAAGGGTAACAATGCTAATAACTTGACAAAAAGATGGGGGGCTTTTTTGGTAATGATGATATTTATGTAGAGCTTTCAAAGATTTACTTAAGCAGTAACTTCTTCTAATTTGTTCTTGGATAGTGAAGACCTGGGAACTCGTTTGAGCAAGTGTCATTAAGGAACCAGGCTTGCAAGTTTAAAGATAATGTCAACATAATAGCTTTGATGCACAGTTGAAAGAAATCAGACTCAGCTGTCACCGCTGTTCTCTTCTAACCTTTAATACCTGATAGATTCTAGTGACATAGTATTTACAAACATATTGGTTGTCTAAATCCTGGAGAGTAGACCGTCTGCGTAGCTCGTCTTAACTAGTTCTAATACAAGCAAGTCTGCACAATTGACACGTGGACTGTCCAGAGCTGCTGTACACAGGGTCACTGTACATAGCAGGGGACTGTACATCGCAGGGGACTCAAGGGCACATAACTACAATAACATTCTATGACAGGTTTGGAAGCAGAAGAGGCATCCACTTCCTAAACAACATGACTCTGGAAACCATGAATTTTGATAAATGTCGATAGTTGTAGAGAGCCTTCAGGCCTTTTGTTCATAGAGTTCTATGAGACATGCTTGACTCAAAAGCAATCAACAACAACATGCACATTACTGTCTGTGATACTCATATGGAAATAATCTGCCTTGTGATGCCTTTAGACTCTCTCCTCACTCCCAAGGCCAAGAATACAGATTTTTGCCTTTCATAAGTAATGTGTTCTATGAAATCTTTCAGAAGTCAAAATGGCATAAAGAAGCAAGTATCATTCATTTATATGGGAACAAACTTTAAGTGCTCCCAGATCTAAAATAATTACTTACCAAATCATAGTAAGTAATACATGAAGCCTAAGACAATACTAATATGGAGTAAAAGGAATTTTGTAATAATTACACCCCAACATTTAAACTCATTGCCACTGAGTCAGAAACCACTCATAGTTTGCCCTCCAGCCGGGTTTTAGGAGGCTGTAAATTGCTTGGAAGGAGATTGCATATCTTTGTCCTGCTGAGTGGGTTCAAACTGTCAGAGAACCAGTGCCTTTTGGTTAGTAGCACAACTCTCTGTAGGTTTCCTACAGATTAGTTGTTGTGTTGTTACGTGTCATCGAGTCCACTCAGACTCATAGCGACCCTGTGTACAGCTCCAAACCCTGCTCTACCCTCATTACCCCATTCACTGAGTCACTCCATCTCTTCTAGGGCCTTCCTCTCTTGCACTGCCCCTCCACCCTTCCAAGCATGATATCCTTCTCCAAGGACTGGTCCTTTCTTTTCCAAAGTATGTCAGATGGAGCTTTAAACTCCTTGCCTGTAAGGAGCAGCCTGGTTTTACCCTCTCCAGAAGGGATCTGTTTGTTCTCTTAGCAGTCCATGCTATATTCAATACTGTTCTCCAGCATCACAACTCAAAGGCATTGATTCTTTTGTCATCGTTAGTCCAGTTCTCTGATGCATAGTGAGTAATTGGGAAGACCACGGCCTGGATCAGACACACCTTAGTCTCTGGACTGACATCATTACTCTTCAGTATTCTGGAGAGTTCTCTGACAGCAGATTTCCCTATTAGCAGTTCGTCTTTTGATTTCCTGGCTGCTGGTACTAAGAGTGTTGATAGTGGATCCAAGCAAGCTGAAGTTGTTATGTTGCCTATATAAAGAAGAAATAATATGTACAGTGTCGTTCCAGAAGGACGTTAGCAACACCACTCTTGCTACTTAGTGTGTGCATTGCCTTCTTAATGGCTTATTACAAAACAAACGCTAAATACTAATTTTGCTTTTTACCTTTTTTGATAGACATGACTACTTTTATGATTGGTTTGTGAAAACAGACACTAATATACTTCTTTCTTTGAAGTGAAGAGCCATAAAGTGAACTTTAGAAAAAGAGGGAGCAGGGCCAAGGCAGCCCTGGTGGCCTAGTGAAAAGAAGGTGCTCTGAAATCCCAAAAGCACGAGGTTTGAATCCACCAGTTGCTCACGGGGAGGCAGATGTGCAGTTTCCTTCTGTGTAATTATCTGCCTCTGAAAGCTTGCTGGATGGTCAGCTGTGGGTTGGTTCCGATGGTACACAACAATTTAAAAGCAGAGCTGTAGTTCCCCAGCTTTCCTGTGGATCTGTATCTTAAACAGTGTTTGGATGGAGATTCCCACCTCCACCCTCTGACTATCCTCCATCCTCCTTTTTAGTCATAACCTCAGGTCCACGTTCTTAGCCTTCTCCTATTTTCTAGACCAGCCAACATTTTTTCTTTTTAGTCCTAACTCCTCAGTCAACTATGAGCTCTCAGATGCATCAGAATTACTCTGCCGAAGCATATTCTGGCATCAGCCTGCACATGCAGGCCTCTACACCTACATCTTTCTGAGTTTTTATCTAAAATGTGATGATGTGGTCTTGGAAGTCCTGGGACAGTCTTTTTCCTCCAGTTGGGGAAGGAGAGGCACAAGGTTGCCAAGTGCATCTTGAAGCTGCAAAATCAGCATGGTGGCTGTGTCAGCTTCCAAGACATTGAGAAGCCATCCCAGGATGAAGGGATAGAACCCTGGACCCCATGAGGGAGCCCTGGCCCTGGAAAAGAACCGGAACCAGGCCCTTCTGGGTCTGCACACAGTGGGTTCTACCCACACTGACCCCTATCCATGTGACTATCTGCAGAGCTACTTCCTGAATGAGGAAGTGAAACTACTGAAGAAGGTGGGTGACCATCTGACCAACATTACAAGACTGGGTGGCCCCCAGGCAGGGCTGGGCAGGTATCTCTTTGAGCAACTCACCCTCAAGTATGACTAGGGGTCTTTGGGGACCTGTAAGGATGCCTCAGCATCTCCCTGCTTCAGCAGCAAGTTTCTCCTTCCCACCCTGGGGCAGAATGTTATCCACCCAGCATCCCCTAGCCCAAGCCTTGGACTAAATGAAACAATAAAGCATTTTACATCCCCCCTCCCCACCGCAAAAAAAACCCCAACACAGCAGCAGCAGTAGCAGCACTATCTGTCCTTAAATGAATCTTTATACTTTTCACATCTTGTAAATCACTGGGCACATTTGGCTTGATATGATTGAGTTTGTGTTTTCTTTCTTGGCTAAGAAAATGAGAACAAGGACCTTATATTTGAACTCTCCTGTGGCTCTCAGAGGACCTGACCCATAGTGGAAAACCAGTTGCTGTTTACTTCGTTCTGATGCTTAGTGACTCTATGCATTTCACAGTAGAACTGGGCTATAAAGTGTTTTCAGTGACTGTAAGTAGCTTGCTGAGACTTTCTTCCAAGGTGCCTCGAAGTAGACCTGAACTTCCAGCCTTTAGGTTAGCAGCTAAGTGTGTTAACTGCTTGCACTACTTAGGCACATAGAGAGGACTTTGGAAATATCTTTGTGGAATAAAAGATTATAAGCTCTTTGAGGGAAGAGATTTGTCTGAAGCTACTTGGAAGATACCTGAGCTGGAGCTTGAGTCTTGGAGACTGAAGGTGTCAGTTAAAGCCACGAAGAAGAGATGGTTCCACTATTAGACTGTGTTGTGAGCTGCATATAATCTGGAGCCCAAATGGACAGATTGAGAGAAGAACAGAAAGCACCCCCTCCAAAAAAAA